AAGTTGGCAATTTTCTGCGAGTATTGGTTGAGTTTGACCTATTTTTTTTATATCGTTTTAAAGCTTAAGATTTTAGCGCTATTGAACGTTAAAATTGGACGTTTGTGTGTTGCACAAATAACGATGCAACACACCCCTTTATTTATGTCGATCACCCCCGATTCCAAACTTTTGTCCAGTGAGTGTATATATATTTTTATAATAAAGCTTGTGCTTAATGATTTTGATTTCGATATTAATTACCTCGTGTTTATTCATTTAAAAGCCATTTATCATTGTGAAGCGCAGATAGGTATAATAGTTCAAGGAACACGGAAAAAAATGGCTACGACCAAAAGTTAAAGCGGAAATGTATTCATTAAAATAATAAATATCTCTTAGTTTTCAAAAATTCTCATATTCAGTCAACTAATAAACAATATGCATCAACAGCTTCACAAGATGCGATCGATCCGAAACTATTATTTCTAGATTCACAGCAATTGTCTCCGCAAGTTATACATACGCCTAATTTGCAGACTCATTTGCTTGCATCTCCAACAAATCATACTCTTGCATTGTCTCAACCCTCAAGCATGATTCCAGCTACTATACAACATATTATTACAGCAGAGGTAACTCCTGTTTCTGATCTTATAAATTCTCATATTAACAATTACTGCACTTGCAGGTCACTCTGATTTATAATAATCATTTCAACATAATTTAATTGTATGCTATATGCTATACAAAGAACAAAAAAAATTACAACTAAGAATGCCTCAGTTGCTAGTCAATTACAATAATTAAGAAAAGCAAAATTGATAAATTTTCATGAAATTAGTTTAGAAATATACAAGAAATTGATATTTCCAGTCATATATAGACAAATTTTAACAGCTCAAAGACAACACAACAGCATTTAATATTTGAAAGTTCAATATAATTCAATTAAATTAGATTTGACAAATAATAAGTCAATGATCATGTTTAGTTCCATGCATCTATTGAGAATAAGTATTTAATAGATATGAGTAACTAAATATGGTCACAGGAGAGATTGCACTAGAATGCAATATACACTCAATTTTCCAAATAAAAATTATGAATTTTGTATGTATTTTTACTTGTATAATTTTATGAAAGAGAAAATACACACAAAAATCATCAATATAAAAGTATATTAAATATTAAAATCAAATAAAAAAATTAATATATTTGAATAAAGAAATTCTAATTATTTGTAAGATTATTTTGTTAATAATTATAAATAAGATAAAATATAATATAAATAGTTTTAATTTATAAACTTATGATTTTATTAT